GCTTATCCGCGCTTGTTCTTGTTTAGTATGTTTGAGACCGCACAAATCTAAATTTAATTTGATTTTTGAATTGCCGCAGTGAGTTCCCTTTATTTGGAGAGCACTCAAACCAACACAACCAACCACCGATGAGCTTTTTTCGACTCATCAATCAACCCGCTCATAGTTACCCATTATTTTCCAGTCCGTTGTGTTCCGTTCTTTGTGTGACTTACCGAAGTCTCTACAAAGGTGTTCCATTCAGACAGCACATCCCTCTCCTCTGAGTGCAAGCAAGTGGTTCGGCTGCAAATGCTTTTCAAAGACGAATGCTGAACTGTCTCGCATGGGGCGACCTCCCATTGACTGGAAGTCCCTTTGATTCGTTTAAGGCTCCATTTTTTCCATCGTCATAACAATTCTTCTTTCGTTTATTCTCCTAATAATTTCTTGCTTCACATGTAGAGCCTATCTCGTAGTTAACTTCCTCTAAATTCCAATATTTGACTATTACGGAAGAGTTTAGATTTGATCTCTATATCGTATAATACCGTCTCTCTTTGGAGTCTTAGGCTCGTAAAAGTTGCACAAGTTTCATGAAGATTCGCATCGCATCGGCGCACCTTTCGTGCTCATTGCACGGCGCTTCTTTCTATTGGCGTATTGCTGTTGTTATATTTTGTATGCTTTGAGTGGTTTTAAAGAATATACCGGGTACCCATTCGGGTAAAATTCTTATCTCACTGCCTAACCGTTTGATATAATGTGAAGTTTCATTATTACAATGTTACTGATTTGTCGCTGTATTGTGTCGCTGTTTTACGGTGATGATTGTGTTTGCATGTCTACATAAACTTAGAATCGACAAGGTTTTTTGTGATTGTTTCTGTGATGTATCAGCACTTGTTCTTATACCGTTGTGACCTACGAATCCACATCCAGTAATGTATGATCAGTTAATTTCATTACCCTAGTCTCATTATATGATTGCAGCGGGCATGGGATCGGCTACTGCAACCACGAACAGGGCTCTCATCTGCAGACGGCCATTTTTTTGCACTGAATGTCATCGGAAGTTC